GTTCGAAAAGCCATCATTCCTCATATATAAAGCATGCTTCCAACAATTCATTTTATTCAATTTTCCCTTCAGATTTTCGTCATTTTTTTTCGCTTTTCATCCTCTTGTTTCTGCATGAGTTCTGTATTTATTTTAGGAAGAAAAAGAGAGAGTTACAACAAAGTTTTGGTTCGCCAGACTTGATTTTATAGTGTTGTAAAATCAAGGATTAGTCGTTGCATCCTGTGAAGTAGGTATCAATAAATCTCGAAGCACCAGAGCGAGGGCGAAATATACTTTAGGGAGATTGTGTCCAACACAAGCTTCGGCTTTAATTTCTGTAAGCTTTTTCGACTTAGTTTTCAAACCGGTAGTCATGTGCTAGTTCTGTAAGTTTCCACAACGTACATTGGTCCCCCTGGAGGTGTTCAAGGTAATCTCTGGGCTTTCTCGTGATTGTTAAACAACTTTGGCGCCCAATGGCCTATTTTCATGATTAAGTGTGAAACAGTGCATTTTTAGACTTAATTTTCAAACCAGGAGTCCCGTGCAAGTTCCGTAAGCTTTCACACCTTGCATTAGTCCATCCCGAGGTGTTTGCTATGTTCCCCGGGCCTTCTCGTGATAGTTACCCGATTTTGGCCCCCGATGGTCTATTTATAAGCTTAAATGTGAAAAAAGTGCATTTTTTGATATTGTTTTCAAACCAGGAGTCCCGTACTAGTTTCGTAAGTTTTCTCAACTTACATCGGTCCCTCCCGAGGTGTTTGAGGTGTTTCACGGGCCTACTCGTGACTGTTACACGATTTTGGTCCCCGATGGCCTATTTTGTAGCTTAAATGTGAGAAAAAGGTCTTTTAAAAATTAGTTTTCAAACTGGAAGTCCCGAGCTAGTTCCGTAAGTTTCCACAACTTACATTGGTCCCTCCCAAGTTGTTTGATGTGTTCCATGGGCCTTCTCGTGACTATTACACGATTTTGGCCCCCCGATGGCCAATTTTCAAGCTTAAGTGTGAGAAACGTGCCTTTTTTTGCTTAGTTTTCAAGCCGGCAGTCCCGTGCTAGTTCTGTAAGTTTCAATAACATACATTAATCCCTCCCAAGGTGTTCCCCGCGTGCTCTACTGAATGCTACACGATTTTGGCCCCCGATGGCATAACCCAACCATCTAAATAAGGGGAACCAACAGGTCAGTTATTCCCCTGAACCTTTCTATATACCAAATCCACATCGTTAATTTTCTTAAAGCATCAGATAGTTCTAGAATATAGCAAAAAGCAGACAATCATACATTGATAAAGAAAAAAACCATTTTGTAATGTAGTTCTGGTGTTTAAATTTGTAGCACATTTCTGATAATTTCAATTGTACGGCATCTGTATTACATAAGGCTGCAGTCCTGAATTTTACTTCTGCCTAAGAATTGCAAACTAGTTTCAATTGGTGTAGTAAAGCTTATCTAAAGGACCATCTAAAGTTGTGAAGCAAAGATTTTGTCACATGACATATATGAAACTACATCAATCATCCTCAATACAAATTATCGTGACAAACATATATATATATATATATATTCCATTAATTGGGACTGAAGTGGGTGTACTTTAAAGGGGACGATTGGTTTAGTGGTTTTAAATTCAGGCCTAATAACCTTGAAGTAGTGAGTGTGAATACAAGGCAGCTACTTTGTACATAATGATTAAAGGTCAGCTTTGTGCCTAGAACCCCATTAATAGGAACTAAACTATGTGTATTTCTATATATAAATATATATATATATACCTTTATTTTATCAATATAAAGTTCAAAATATTATTGATCACTTCATTATAAAATCAAAATCAAAACTCAAGAGAATTGCTTACCTCTTCTAACACCAATTTGATCCAAGAATGGCCCAGATTGCCTAACTAAAAATGCCAAAAGTCCTGGTACATCGAGCGGTGGAACTTCCTACATCATATATATAAGAAAAGCAGAAGAAAAGAAAACATTCAACATAGTGTATTATAGATTGTAGGAAACTAGAATCATCAATATACCCAATCTATGACAAATGTCAATCAATCCTAAGGAACAAACATACTACACCACCACATATGAAATTTTGACTATGCCTATTGGTCTGTAATTAAACCTAGGCCTGAGGTTCAGGCATCTACGTACGTGAGATGTTAGAATGTGATAAATACTGCAACATGAAACACATATCAAGTACACAATGGCATGTCAATATCCATTACAAAATGGTGTTTAACACAACCACCTTGATAAAAGAAGAAGAAGAAGAAGAAGAAGAAGAAGAAGAAGAAGAAGAAGAAGAAGAAGAAGAAGAAGAAGAAGAAGAAGAAGAAGAAGAAGAAGAAGAAGAAGAAGAAGAAGAAGAAGAAGAAGAAGAAGAAGAAGAAGAAGAAGAAGAAGAAGAAGAAGAAGAAGAAGAAGAAGAAGAAGAAGAAGAAGAAGAAGAAGAAGAAGAAGAAGAAGAAGAAGAAGAAGAAGAAGAAGAAGAAGAAGAAGAAGAAGAAGAAGAAGAAGAAGAAGAAGAAGAAGAAGAAGAAGAAGAAGAAGAAGAAGAAGAAGAAGAAGAAGAAGAAGAAGAAGAAGAAGAAGAAGAAGAAGAAGAAGAAGAAGAAGAAGAAGAAGAAGAAGAAGAAGAAGAAGAAGAAGAAGAAGAAGAAGAAGAAGAAGAAGAAGAAGAAGAAGAAGAAGAAGAAGAAGAAGAAGAAGAAGAAGAAGAAGAAGAAGAAGAAGAAGAAGAAGAAGAAGAAGAAGAAGAAGAAGAAGAAGAAGAAGAAGAAGAAGAAGAAGAAGAAGAAGAAGAAGAAGAAGAAGAAGAAGAAGAAGAAGAAGAAGAAGAAGAAGAAGAAGAAGAAGAAGAAGAAGAAGAAGAAGAAGAAGAAGAAGAAGAAGAAGAAGAAGAAGAAGAAGAAGAAGAAGAAGAAGAAGAAGAAGAAGAAGAAGAAGAAGAAGAAGAAGAAGAAGAAGAAGAAGAAGAAGAAGAAGAAGAAGAAGAAGAAGAAGAAGAAGAAGAAGAAGAAGAAGAAGAAGAAGAAGAAGAAGAAGAAGAAGAAGAAGAAGAAGAAGAAGAAGAAGAAGAAGAAGAAGAAGAAGAAGAAGAAGAAGAAGAAGAAGAAGAAGAAGAAGAAGAAGAAGAAGAAGAAGAAGAAGAAGAAGAAGAAGAAGAAGAAGAAGAAGAAGAAGAA